CCATCAGAGCAGACAACCTCATTTTGAACTCTCTGTGGAAAGAGCTACAGCAAACCAGAGCTGAACTGAAGGCATCGCAGAAATGGGCAGCTCAGCACTTACTGCCAGCAGGTAAGTCCACGTGCGCTATGCTTTACCGGAGAGCTCTCTTTGGTGGGCCTGTCCAAACAGACATCCTACAAACACCCCTCTTAAGCACCTTCCTCTGCATATGACTCCAAAGCAATCTCATGAACAGCACAGCAGCTTTGAGCAGTCTGTACGTACAGGGAGGAAACCCATTAACTGTTCGCAAAAAAAGAGGCGCTGAGCTTTTCAAATGTGGGATCAAAGAAGGGTTTAATCAAAGCCCTTACACAGGGCAAAGCCAGCTAGGATCCCACCTCCTGCAGGCTCTCCCAGATCAAAACGGTTGCCAGAGAGCAGCAAACATATTTTAAACATACAAATTATGTTCTCTCACCTTTTACCTTCCCAGCTGGTAACTCCTATGCATACGCACTAGTCACTGAGCTCTCTCCTGTTCTCTTCATGCATGTACCCACTCCTTCCTCTTCCTAAATTAAATGTTGTCTCCTCACCAACTCCAACTGCCCAAGAGCAGAGCTAGATCTGAGGACACGCTGCTGATGCCAACCAGCTAAGCACGCTTCCCGCAACAGGGAGGGCACATTCACTGCATGCAACTGTCAGGACAGAATATTTCCTCGAGCATGGAAAAATTAGTAACACTGTGGTATTGTTTGGGGTTTTTTTTTTCCCTTCCAAAATGTTTGCATTGGTCAGCAAGCAAGGTGGCCATAGAAAGATGAGCTCATATCTCAAATTTCATGTCAGTTTTTCTGTGCACTGTAATATGAGATCCAAAAAGCAGCTACAGCAACTTGGGCATGGCAGAGCAGACCCCCATCTATTTAAAGCGCGGGTGCAAAATTGCTACGTGCACAATGTAACTGTGTTAAATGTAACTCTGCCTACCAGATAGTTACCACTGCGTGTCTTCTAAATGTTGACCTGTCTTTAATGACCATATTTTCCACAAAAGTAACTTACTGCAGCTTAAAAACCTCACAGAAATCTACATTCGCAGAATCCCGCGGGTGTGTGTGAATAGGAAGTTAGGGATGCAGTTACACCAGCCTTGCCAGCAACCCTTAGCAACACCACCAGCGTGAGCTCTTACACAGGTGAGCAAGAAGGAGCACTTCTTGTAACTGCTAAAGCAAAGGCAACAACTTACACAAGCCTCTTACAGTACTAACACAATATAACAATAGCTTTATCAAAGCATTTTAGAATCTAACATGAATCTATCCTCTCATGCAGGACATGGATTCAGCTTTTATAAGTAAATTGCTTTTACTCCTTTATTTATCGCAACACTTTAGTAATCTTTGTGTACTGGGAGTAGATCTTACAGTATATTCCTTTTTTCCCCAAACACGTGAATCTTGCCTTCCAGAAAGCATGACCTCATTCTTTATCTCTCTCCTGTAACACGGCCAGCCTCGCAGTCCGTTACTCTGCACTAGGTGAGAGTAAAAAAAACTTGACTGGCATTAAGGATCTCAGTCTTATTAGTGGAAATCCAGATTGTTTCCACTGGTTCCTGCGTGGGTTTATATTAAATGTTCTTATTTTTTTAATTTAAAAGATACGTTTTAAGTAATTCCAGAGTCTCTCTCTGGAAATTTTTTTCCAAGGGAATTTTTAGCAACTGACTTTAATTTCTCACATCTTGAATTACTGCCAGCCATACTCTTGAGGGATTTTCTAATCACACTTTTTGTTCTTCAGTGAGGCTGGTTTTAATTTTGTTTAGGCCTTGATAATAAAGCCTGAAAGCTTGCTAATTAAAAGCTTTTTCACAATAGTGTTCCTAAGTAGCATTTTAAGGAGTATCCCCAACAGTTGCTCGCTGCTCCTGCCCCTCCTCAAAAGGACCAATGAAGAAATGTAAAATCTGCTCAAAGTTGAAAGGAAGCAGTTTATGAAATAACACTGCAGCGCAATCCTGGAGGACACAAAGAGTCCTTCATTCACTGAAGCAGAAATTTCCAGACACATTTTAGACCCTCTAGCTTGTTTAAACAGGAAATGAACCAGCTTAATTGTAGAAGGGGGCTACTTTTTCCCCTATGTTGCTTAGAATATTAAGTTATATATGACTAGGGAACAGTACATAGAATACCAAAAATGGCTTGGGTTTAGTGATCATCAGTTACTTTTCTAAGTTTCATAAATTTCTGTTAGTGCTAATAATCTAATTTCTATTCTCAACTTATTGCTTAATTGGAGATGAGAGATGAACTATTTTAAAAATATCAGTTGTCTTATACATTTCCCAATCTTAACCAGTGCACGTGAAAGTTACTGACCAATAGCCCTAAAGGCAGGGTCAGAAAAGGGAGTCATTATGATAAATAAATAAACAAACACATCTCAGCATGCTTCTGCCAGTGCTCCCTGTGCCTGCTTTTCAGTAGCCCCTGTCCCCTTGTCCTCCGCTGCGCAGTTATCCACGGGACAACAGCAGGACACTACATAACTGCTCGTGACACAACTACCCAGCGGCTCCGTTTCTCCAGCCGCAGCAGCAGTCTCATACTACTATCCCAGGAATGGCACGGTATCTAAACCTGCCGTTTGATAGATCACTGAACCCATCCCCTCACCGTAACGTTGCTGTTTTCATCACTCCATACTGAAAAAGAACACGGAGGCTAAAGTAAGACTTAAATGAAACAGAGAGAAGACTACCCGACATAATTACCTAATGTAAAGTGCTAATTTCTCTAGGTGACCCAGCAAAAGAGAAGCTCTCTTAAGAGGCACATCAGAGCAGAAGGCACCTGCCCCACACGGACCCTTGGGGAAGCCCAACTTCCCAAGGCAAGCACCAGGGCAGACAGGCAGCATTAAACCTAAAGGTCACTTTGCATGACACAGGACTATACAATACATTACTTTCGCAGCAAGGGAAGAGCCAAGCCTTGTTCCTGCAGCCTGATTAGCCCCTAGACCCATTGCCATAATATTTGGCAAATTCGTCCATCAGATTTGACAGCTTCTTCAAAGCATCCTGCATCCCACTGGGTGAGCCGAGCTCTCAGCTCCCTTTGAGAAGCCCAGGAGTGAGCATATGTCAAGGGTCCTAACTGTGCAAATAGATCAGTTTTTATTTACCTAACAATCTTTCTAATTTTTTCAGGGTGTGAAACAGCAATTCTATTCCCCATGCGTTCGAAAAAGATATTTGGGAGTGTTCACCCAACTGCTGGAATGACCCTTCACTCCTTTACTGCTTGTATCTGGATCAAGGTGACTGAGGCTTTGCGCAAAACTATTGTCTTCTCCTATGGAACCAAGTTAAATCCATATGAAATCCAGCTTTATCTCAGCTGGGAGTCTGCAGTGCTTGTTGTTGGTGGTGACCAGCACAAGTTAGCTGTCAAAAATGTAGTTGTTCCTGGGAAGTGGATCCATCTCTGCGGCGCCTGGAGCTCAGAGAATGGATCTGCATCTCTCTGGGTGAAGGGAGAGCTTGCAGCCACCGCCTCGGACATCGCCGACGCTCACACCATTCCAGATGGAGGGATTTTGCAGATTGGTCAAGAAAAGAATGGCTGCTGCGTTGGAGGTGGATTTGATGAAGCTTTAGCCTTCTCTGGAAAATTAACTGGCTTTAACATGTGGGACAGAGTGCTCAGTGCCAAAGAGATAGCAGCGCAGAGCGGAGAAGATGCGTGCAGTATTAGGGGCAACATCATCGGGTGGGGAGTCACAGAAGTTTTGCCATACGGGGGAGCCCAGTATGTTTCTTAAGTTCTGGTAAGGCAGTTTCTGAAGCAGAGAATGTATTTCATGAAGAGCTGAATGCCGATATGTACAAGTAAACAGAGCTGTAGGAGCCCACATCTCCCAAATTCCCAAGGAAGATTAGCATTGCAAGTTTACAAAGTGAGGTACTGCGGAGATGGGATTTGATCTCTGCCTGCTGTTTTGGCAAAACGCTGAAAAAAACCACATCAAGGCGTGACATTGGAAAAGCTGTTCCTAAGGTCAGATGACCGCTGTCTCTCTAGCATAGTGTTTTCTGATGTATACAAGTGCCACTGTGGACATTTTGGAGCCGAATGGTGCTCCTGGCATCACTGCTGAAGCAAACACATCAGGTATCCGGCTGACCAGTCTCTGCATAACAGACATAAGGCTGCGCATCTTCCCAGCTCCTCCAGTCATTGGTTTTTCTAGTGCTAATGTGAATTGTACAGAGGAACGACATAAGCCAAGAAATGTGTTGTTTATTAATCGTTGTTAGTAATTTGTAGACTATAACAAAACTAGCTCCTTGGTTAAAGCATTATTTATGCCACAGACTGACCTAACATAGAAAAGTAATATTCCCCATCATAATCTGATGTTACATTTTGAGAAAATGCAGCTGTATTATATTGTAAATTGACTTTGTAATAATTTTATTGAAATTATTTTTGTAAAGTTGTTCTATAAATAAAGATACTTTACTAAACTAAAACTTTCCGTGTTTCTCATGAACTGAAACTCTGAAAGTAAGTACCAATTGGGAATTTTTCCATGTTTTGAACCACACAGTTTTAGCTGCTAATAGAAAAGGAAAGGTTGGACCAGATGATCCTTGAGGTCCCTTCCAACCTGGTATTCTATGATAAATATCAACATCTCATACAGAGACCCTCAGAGGACCAAAATCCAAGCATTAACCAGAGACGGCTTTAAAGGCCTGTCATGATAACAATCCCTCTTTGCTGCCATGTGCAAGGATCTGCCACTCTAGGAGTTCTCCCATGTGGACATGGTCACTTGTACAGAAGAGATGCTTTGACATACTGACACACGTGCATTGACCTAAGGCTGTGCTAGCATGGCGCCTGGAGGCTGAAGGAAGGATCGGTTTTGAGATATCACCAAATAAAAATCAATCTGTACCCCATGCATAATGCTGGCCATCCGAGAAGGACATACTCAGTTTTAACATACATTTAGATATCCAAAGTAACCAACTTGTTTGATGCTAACAGGAGGTTTGTACAAGGCAGAACTGATGGCAGCGGCTTTCTTCTCTCACGTTCGCAAGCTTATCCAAAATCCAGTAAAAACATAGGGCTGGATACAGTGCATAAGAAGCAGATGCAGAGAACCAAGATACTGGTAGTGATTTGCGTGTAGAAAACAGAGCAGAAGTAGACAATGATAAATAGTTATTTGCTGGATATGTAACCATTTATGACAAGAATGATTATTCACCACCTGTTGAAGCCTCTGAACAAGTTATCGTGGAGAATGTCTTATTCAAAGCAATTCTTATTTCCACTAGGAGCAGCCCACCCTTCTGCTCTATTCACGTTTCTCCTCTCATTCTCTACAGATGTCCTAAGAACACGCCGTGAAAAGTTTCTTGACATGTTGCTGCTGTGCTTATTCCTGACTATAACACAGCTACCAGATCCTTCCTTCCACCATACAAAAGTAGTAAGAAAAAGCTATGACAAGGTAATTTCCACTTTGCTATGCCATTCAAGGGGGTTGTGCTTCATAGCTAAAGTTATATGATCTGCATCAAAGTTTTGGCAACACTTTATTTAAGGTAAAAATAACTGCTCCGATTGCTGGAATTTCTCCTATTACCCTGCAATAAAAGTGTATCTAAATTATAAATGCTTAGTAGTAAGCGCAACAAAAATTCCTTACTAAATAATATCTGCAAATAACCTTAACTACAGAACAATGAAATATTACCTCCGTTCATCTGCTGTCAGCCAGAAAACAGATCTTCAGAGTTATGTTGGTGACTTGAGGTCCCAACATTGTGCAAGGGCAAAACCGCTCTCAAATCCTCTTTCCATACAGTGCCCCCCATTAAATGAAAACAAATGTCTGTGAAACACAGCAGAAAAAGCAAAATCCTCAAAAAAATTACCAGAAGTCCTTCCTGGCTACTTTTCTTATTGTATCTCATACCTGAAATACTTTGTCTTGGAAGGAGCCTTTTCCTATCTCTGTTCTGGTTTGGCAGATGACCAAATGCAAAGCCAGTCCTTTCATTCTCACTGACTCAGCTGGAAAACTCTCCTCTTTCCAATTGCTTTGCTCTTCCTTTATCACCTCTGTAGGCTAGCAAAGCTTTCCCACAGTCTAGTCCCCTCCTGCCCAGCACCACAAGTCATGTCCATCAGCACACTTCTCTCTTTCCTTCCTAGCTTAACTATATTTTTCTTTGTCAACAGTTACTTTGTCTGTTCGTAAACCACCAAGTAAATAGTATTTTGGGGGAGTTTGGGCTCCAAATACGGAAAAGCCACTGTGACCCTGCTTTTGCACTGCAAACGTAGAAATGAAGGAGCAAGCACAAGACGTGTGCCTGGAGTACGTTGCTGAGCCCAGTTCTGCCCTCTAACAAGCCTCTGCTGAATGCAACATCCACATCCCTTGCCTGAGCTCCTCTGGAAGGTGGAGCAGCCGTGGGACTCTCAGATTACAGCAACGACTGCAGGGTAGTTTTGCCGCTGTTCCCTGGAAACAGGAATAAATCTGCCTGATCCCTTATGCTGATGGAAGGTGTCAACACAGGGCCTGTCAGCATTGCGGGCACGGTACAGACATTTGCATGTTTAGAAGCTGAGTTCACACTAACTGGAACAGAGTAGTTTTTTTTCGCTAATAAGATAAGAAACTGATTATGCAGCCAAACAGTTGCCCCAAGTAATCAAAAAATCCAGTTAGCTCTAAAACACTCACAGGCAACGGGCCAAAGTCTACTATCAGTCTCACTGGTGCCATTAGGCTGAGCCCCGTCTGTGCAGCACCAGAACAAGGCCCTTTGTCTCCACACTGCTTTGTAAATCCATCCTTAGCAGCTTATCCTCTTGCTTCCCTTCTCCCTTCAGCAAACACTCAGTCTTTAAGCGCGGTTCTTAGCCTGCTGCAAAGCAACCTTTTCATGCCTGAAATACAAATTATGTACAGTGCAATTAAGCCGGTATGCCAAACAGAGCACTTTGCCTATTCAGAGTGCCCTCTTCCAGTCTGGAATTTCCAAATCTGATGTGCACAGCAACATCTGCTGGTGGAACAACATAAATACACAAAAACGAGCAGGAACAGTCACAATGAAACTGTCAGTTGTGGGTGTTAATCACTTGTGTTAATCACTTTTCCTAAACCTATGACTATATCATAAAACCTGTTTCGCTTCATTTCTTTCTATTAATAGCACTGTATTACAAGTGGTAATGCACAACGTTAACACATAAATACTAATGTCACAAGTCTTAAAAGAATTATCCACGTGGTTTTGTAAGTTGTTAGCAATATTCTGTTCTTGGACTCTACTCAGTTAGTATTATCACACAGCTCATACATATTTATCATATTTATCACACATTTGTCCTTAAACAAAGCAGACAGAAATACGCAAACTGTTACGGTAACATCTTAACGACAAAATTACTTTCTAACTTAGCTATCCCTCCATAAAAAGCCTAAAAATAACTACACTCCATTTATATTTTTTAATAAATACAGAATGCACACATTTATTTTGAGGGCTTAGCATCTTCATAACAATGTTCTCGGAATAATTAGACAGCTATTGCTACTTACTGCTATTACTACTTATTGCTATTACCCATACTTGAAGAAAAGCAAACAGTGACTTTACTACTGCAGTAGCACTGTATTGCAAAAAATACTGTGAACTTTACTACTTCAACTAAATTGGACTTCCTTTTGTAGAGGTATGAACATTTTTGGCTTTTTAAACCACAAAAGTAAAATGTACAGAGTTTAGCAACAGTATTCTATGTAAAGTTAATAAAGTAGGCAAAATTAAAGAACCACTACAAAGCTTTTATATCTTACATCTGACTATTTTGCTACAGAATGGGATTCATTTCATCCCCATTTATATTTTGGAGTATTGCCAATGACATAAATAAAAAGGATAAGAGCCCAGTAACTAGTGTCTCATATCATGGCTTATAATTTGAAGTCCATTAGTATGGTATACTAACAAGTACAGATGTATTTCCTGCCCTGTGGGTCGTCCAATCTATAATGAAACTTCCATAGTCAACAAGGTTCAGTAAATTCACATATTCTTGAAAGGTCTTCCTTGATATAGTCTGTTATTAGATTGTGTCTAACATGTTTTATCACATGTTTATAGATATGTCCCTATGTATGCTTTATACATACATGCCTCATACATGTTTTTACATATAACGTGTTTGTACATAAGCCCAATACAGCCTAACTAATCAGTGGGCATGCTGAAGGACTACATCCAAAATCTCAGTGTGTTCCTACCTTGAAGGACGCTTTTGACAATGGTGTCTGTGTGATCAGCCAGCAGATCCGCTTTAGCGATTGCAGCCAAGGATAGATAACTTGACATGTTTCTGCACAGTTCTTTATTGCCCCTCTGAAGAAATTTCACCGCCACTGGGACAGCTAAGGCCATTACTGGAGGTCGATTGTAATTCTGTAAAAACATGAAAAAACACTGCAAAATGAGCAGCTGAAAAAAATGGTTAAACTAAAGTCTCATGCTGATCAGAGTAGAAAAACAAAAATCAACAGGAGAAAAAAAAGCAAAACACGTGTCAAGAAAGGTTATGTTTTGGTAACACCACTGAAGGCAGACTTCAAAGAAAGGGCGAGTAAGGAAATTTAAAAGTACTGCACCAGGAGATGCTAATAATGCACCTATTTTTGTCTTCTGCAAGAGGAGAAAACACGATATTAAGTGCACTAGTTAAATGTTAACTGCTGTAACATTTCTAACA